TAACTGAGTTGGGGAGCTCGGAAACGAAGAATAGCGGGCCACTAGGCACCAGGGGCGCCATAGCGAAAGTAGTTCCGACCGGTGGTCCGGTAAAGTACAATCTTACCGGGCCCCCCCCCCTAAAAACCCCTACTGTCTCTTCACTTTAACGAATGAAACTACAAAATCACCTACCTTGGGAGTGTGTTAGTCGATGATGAAAATAACGCTCTATCTTTTATAGCTTTCTATTTATAAAAAGTGTTACGAACACATACTAGCAATGCCAATCAGGCTTTCCCGCGCGGTGAAAATTTGGTCCCCGTTTACCGGTGAATTTTGGGACCGGGTTGTAGAGTAGGTGACTAACTTTGTCAACCTCGGTCTGCTCTATTTCTGGACGAATGTGAATGAAACTCGGCTACTAATCAGAAAATAGGGCAAACTAATGATATGTGGACATTGAAGTTTGTACACATAAATTAACCTATACTTTTGGTGTCGGGAACACTTCCGTATCGGGTGTACCGAAAACTATAAATAAGGAGCTTTTAAAGAATTTCAACGCCAAGATGGTAATAGATCTATCTATCCTCTATAGTGTGCTCAAATTTGAATGATCTGTGTCTAGTAGTTGTTTAGACCCGATCATAAATGCATGACTACCCCCCTATCCAAAGCGTCTTCGCACAGAGACCGGCCATTTTCCCCCTCACTCTCGTGGCACGTGTATGTGACCTATAAATCCCCGCATGACTATTCCGAGCCCGTTCATTGGTCACTTGAAAATATTGCTATGGTGCACGCGCGCATCCGGTTGTTTTTGTCTCTGTTCCCCTGTAACAACACAATGGGGTTATTCCGAGGCGAGCTTATCTCTCCTCGGGGTGTTCGCGTCTCTAGGGGGAAAAAGTTTTTTTAATTGTACGGTATACTAGATTGAATTAACTTGTCTTTTAAGGTTGGCATGGTCTAGTGTAATGTCATCAAAGTGCTTAATTTATTAGCAATGCCAATCGCCCGCTGCGCCTTGGGCAGGAAATTGGCCTCCGCGCGAGGGGTAATTTTTGGGCCGCTCGGGATCAGAAGTGACTCCCTTCTAAGTATAGTTATGGGAAAGAAAGTGGCTATTCTCACCCGCCCGGAAGTTCTCGCAAGATCAACTCCTCCCCTCTTCTTTCTCTCTCTGTCTCTTTCTGAATACTGTCTATCGGTGTGGACGATCAAATTGACCAAAACAAAGTTAAAAAATTATGTTAAAACACAAAAGTAAATTAATTTGGTTGTCTACAAAGATGCTACGGCTATTTAACTTTTCGAATCGAGCCGAACTACGCGGGTCGCCATTTTGTTTTGCCCGGAAATTGTCGCGCTACTCCTCTCTCTCTTTCTCTCTCTCTCTCTCCACTGCCCACAGACAAAATTGTACGCTTTTAGTAGGCTACAGTTGTAATGGAACGTTTGTTCACAGCACAGAATTCTACAATTTTTCCTCACAGTGTAGAATTCTGTGGTTTAGGGTGAACGCAAAATTCGGTGAACGCGCACCGGGTGAGAATAGCCACAAGACTCGCCTGCACTATTCTCACTCCGGGTGAGAATAGAGGTGGCCTATGGGAAAACTTGCGGATGAAAATAAATTAAACTCGGCAACCTATCAGAGGAAAAGTTAAACTAACGATATGCCAGCGTACAATCCCGAATGATTTCTAGAATCGGAGAAATTGCAATGTTTATTTGAATTTTGTCTGTGGTTCAAAAACTAAGCGGAACTGCTGGTTGATCGCCGACCACACAGGCGCCCCACTGTCTTCTTTATTGCTGTAAAATTTCAGTTCTCTGCGTGTAGTACATTTTACGTACCAAATTAAATTTACCAGCCATCCATTGATAAAACACTAGAGCTGGAAATTAGTTCACGAATTCCAAACGCGAGGTGCCGGCATGCAAGAGACGCGTGATCGCTAGGCGGAATGTGATTGGCTGCCAATAACTGAATAAGTCACTGATGACTTCATTGTGGATTTTCCAGATACCGCTTTACTGAGTTTTAGAAGGGGTGGTCACGTCGCAGTAAAAACAATGTTCCTGCACATTGAGTGACAGCTGTGGGTACAAAAAAGGTGCTGTTAGACTACTGTAAGATTGATTGTAACCACACATTCACCATGAAATAAAAATACAAGTGAAAATAAAGCATCTAAGAATGTTCTATTTCTGTTGAATTTTTTTATCATCTTGTCTTATTGTTTGTTATATTTCTTTCCAGTTGTGTCGGAGTGCAAGAACATCAAGCTGTTGATATTGAAATTTATCATTGTCCAAATTGCACTCCCAAACACGGACCACTTGCATGTAAGTCTTGAGAGATATTTATAATATAATCAAATCAGTGACAAACACTATATTGGGATGTTATACTAGATTAGTTAAACTTTTGACAAGGCAAATAGGCATATTTTAAAAAAAATTACTATTTTTTAGTTTGGAAAGCTTTGTAATGAGGCAGGCATTCACGTTGATAATAGGAAATATGACACATGATGTTGTTGAAAAGATTTTCCAATAAAGATATTATTTATTATAACTGTTCCAGTAATGCTGGTTATGAAGTCAGTTTAAAGTTTCTCAAAACAAGCAGAATCAGCAAAGCTTAATACCAATACCATGCGCCCAGCGCTGGCACTGCAAAAGCGCAGTGAGTAGAGGTGGGCAAAATCCGGATAATCTATAAGGAAAACCGGATAATTCTCAATGAAATATCCGAATTCAGACTCTCAACTCTCTTTCCTGACCCGTTTGCCGAAGTGGGTGCTCCAATTTGTTGAAGTAGTCCTAACCCGTTTGTCTAAGTGGTTCTAACCCATTTTCTGAAGAGGTTCATGATGATATTTGCCGAATAGGTACACTAACATACTATTATCCGGATTTTACTAAATCGACTCATTGCCCAGCCCTAGCTGTGAGTCAGTGAACACTCACCCCAGCGGTGGGTAACCAAGGGAACATGGTTTTTCCCATCAGTACCATGTATTGCACATCGACCTAATCAGAAGAAATTGGAGCATTTTACCGAAGAATAGATTTCCTGACATCTTCAGTGACAGTCAAGTTTTTATCGAGGAAAGAGGATTGATCGGTAGTGAGTCTGAAACATGCCGAATGGAACTGTGATTTTCCAACTGGCCTCATTCAGAGGGGCAGCAAAATGTCTATCATCAATGCCTTTCACCCCTGGCAGGGTATAGGCCACATACAAGCTCCTTCCATTTATCTCTGTCCTGAGTCATCCTTCCAAGCTCGTTCCAAGTGAGCTTCATTTCTCTCATGTCCCTTTCCACGCATCTCCTCCATGTTTCCCGTGGCCTACCCCTGCCTCGTGCATGGTGCTCCTTGTGGGTTCCACTACAGTGACTGTCTTGTGATGTTTCCGCTAGGCTTTCTTAAGGTGTGTCCCATCCATCGCCACTTTCTTAGTCCTATTTCTACTTCTATATCCTTTTGTCCTGTCCTTTCCCACAGCTCTTCATTTCTTATTCCATCCTGCCACTTAATTCTTAGAATACTCCTCATACATCTGTTGATGAAAGTCTGGACTTTATTCAGTACTGTCTTCGTTGTCTTCCAAGTTTCGCAGCCGTAGAGGAGCACAGACTTGACGTTGGAGTTAAAAAGTCGAATCTTGGTGCGCAGTGAGATGTTGCTTGCTTTCCAGACTTTTGATAATTGCTTGAAGGCTGACCTTGTCTAGATATTACCCAAATACCCCCAACTTTGGCAGTCAATTAGAGGAAAGATTGATCTTCACTTCGCAGGCTTCCGTTTACAAGACGAACAAAAAACGAATAAGTTACAAGATGGTTACTGTTACTTCATAGGTTTGCTCCTGAAAAGTGTATTCGATCACAGTGTGGAATATACCTACATTACCTTAGATGGGCTTAACTTTATAATATTAGAAACTGTTTCCTGAAATTCCTCAATAATTATAAACAATCGCATTAAAAAAGAAATAATGTCAACGTCATCTCCAATTTTTTGCATAGCCCGAAAGCCAGCTTGCTATGACACCACGGCTGCATAAAGTAAAGCGTAGCTGCTGATTGGACAGTTATTTTAATCAACGTGAATACCACGGACTAAGACATATTGCAGGTTTCTTTCAATTTGCCATCACAAATAATTGGGCTTAAATTCGGTTTTACGTGAATCTTGAGTTGATATGAACTTCAAGATAACTACGGATTGAGTATCGAAAGTGTTTTGGCAAAATCAGAATTTTAAAGATAGATTTTCGTAGATTTATTTATGCTTACATTATAGACCTGTGTACTTTTACTCATAATGATAAAGCAGAAGAACAACAATTACGATAATATTAGATTTAGATACGCATGAATGCAGTGTAGTTTATTTTTTCCCTCTGCAAACATAGATTTGTGCACATCCACATATAAATGTTATGGCAGAATGGACATGTATCATCGAGCAATGTTCATATAACAAAATTGAAATCATGTGCATAATTAATTAATTATTTGCATGTTATCTGGACACTGAGATTGCAACTTCGATTCTTTCATTTTCAATTTCGTTGCCCCCAAAAACAATATTTCCAATTTTCAGCTCATTCCATCCGTAAATCTAGTAATATGTTAGTTAGTGTTTAATTTTCTGGTTCTGTTTCCCCTTCATTATTCCTCTGCAGGAATTTTCTTTAAAATATCCATAATTTCCGACATGTACGCAGCCATACTTTTTTGTTTATAGACAAATCTTCAAAAAGTAAAAAGCATTTTGCAGTAGAAATATTGATCTTTACATCTGTGTTGTTTATAGATTAGTTGTACCAATGTTTAAAAAAAAAAAAGTGGTATTGCTATATATATATGTATATACAATATTTTTATGTCCTAAGCAAGCACATTTTGTTGTTATGAAAAGAAATTAAGACTTCCATGATTTTGTTAGAGAGAACTGTGTGTAAGGGAGGTGTGGTGGGAGCTGTATGAAGTGTACATTTATGTTTTTGTTCGTTTGCAGTGAAGCGGAGGAGGAATTGGCACAGACATGATTACTCTGAGGATGGAAAGAATCTCAGCAGTGTGAGTTGAATAATATAAACTCTTTACATCTTTATCTGTTAGTGTCGCGACACACTGTTTTCAGGTTCTCGTAAACTTTTAGGCCGTTGAAGGTATTGCTATCATCTTTAAGCGTGACATTTTTCTTGCTTTTGATGCAAACAATACCCATTTTTCTTGAATAGAATTAGAGATACTTGCGATTGAAGGAGGTGGGGATGCTGTGCACTAGCATTGAGCTAAAGGCTAATCTAATCCACGAGGTGAGCGTATTTCAGCCTACAGAAGAGTACAGAAAGAGCAGTGGAGAGTGAAAAAGTGTGGTCACCTTGGCTTTTTTTATTCTGATTGGCACCAGTGTTTTTTGTCCATTGGTTTCTCAAATTATGCAGACTGTCAGAGAAATATTGGCAGTTGAGAAGTTATGTTTCAGGTTCAGTAGGCTGTTCAACATTCATAAGCTGTACTCTTTTTCAACTGCTGAGTTTTGTAGTATGGACATGCTGTATATGGTGTTTGGTGTCACTGAATAGAAGAATATCCCGTATGAATACATTTCAAGCAAGCTCTAAACCAGTCTTCTATGCAAAAATATATTTTCAGGCTGTGCAGACAGGCACTGTGGTTTTCATCAAAGAACTCAAGAAAAGAAATTTTCCAAGGTGTGTACTTGAGGCATTCACCCCGTGGGGAGCTTTTGGTGTTGATCTCTTTGTGTATCTATGTAGTACGTAAATATGACATTGTACAAATTGTATTGTGATGTTGGAAAACATCCTGACACAATATATGACTATGATTTGTGGCATTGTGTACAACTTGATTGTTTTAAAGAAATACCACTGAACAGGACAGAACCTATGTTCTTTCCTGATGAGTCATTTTCAACTTTTGATATTGGATGATAGGTATGTCAATTGATAGGTATGTCAATTGATAGGTATGTCAATTTTTGACTTCTGTCTCTTTGTATAGAGTGGCAGGGAGTTAGAGGATGTTTTGGAAAGGTTCTGGTTTTTTTTTTCTAACCCTTGGTTGTTTGTCTGTTTTCCTTTTCTGAGTACTGCATGACTTATTCCACAGCTGAGAGTATGTGTGGACAAGTGTGTGTGTTTGCCTTGCTGCAGCAAATTACTCTTTGTGGAGAGAGGAATGAATTCTTATCTTATCTTATCTATCTTATGTGTCTTACTATGTTAATCCTCTGAGCTCTTGATACAGTTCTCTCATAAAAAGTTTTGAAATGTGTTTTGGGTAGTTATATCAGAAAACTACAGTTCATAGTGTCTTTGTTACATGTTGATTTTGCTCGTTTTGTAAATAATATTTTATTAGTGCGGATGAGATACCAATCAAGCGCTTGCATGGAAGTCAGCTGACCCCAGCATATTTTGAAGAGGAAGGCTTCGACGTGCCTGTCTTGTGCGAAAAGAAGGATGGGCTGGGCCTCACAATGCCACCCCCGTCTTTTTCCATCAATGATGTTGAACAACTTGTTGGTAAGATATTCCTTTTTCCAGTTGATCGTATCGTATGTTGTGGGCTTACTACTCTTTTGAGTGATCTATTGGTGATTAATATAAAGGCAGGATTTCTGGTTTCAACGTTCATCGACAATAGGACCATGCTTAGTGGGTGGAGAGCTGTGAAAACTTTTATAAACATCCAAAGTGCAAGCAACGCTCCAGTGTGTGGTTCAAAGCAAGGTTGCTGGCACCACTGTCCAGCATGATCATCACCAGAACTGATGGCGGCATCGAACTTGAATGTCGTGGGTTTTGTTTTCAACAAATGATAGTAACTCAGTCTTATAACAGACTAGCCGCTAAACAAACTTCTCTTTCTGGCCAAGGATTGAAAGATTCAAGGTCAATGTCAATACACCAGATATCCTCCTATTATTTAGTTTGTCTTATTTGTTGTTTTTGTAAATTTTAGACGTGCACATTTGTTTAGTACTTGTGGATGATATTGGGGTTGGTGGTTGTTGTTTATTGTTGTTTTCAATTCCCTTTAGCTGCGAGCATTTCGCTCTTGGCAGCGCAATGCTTCCCTCAAGTAACCACATGTCCTTGTCATCTGGTCAACGCCAGAGTAGGGGTTGGTGGTAGGTCAGACTTCTGTTCCTTTGTTGTTTCCTTTGAGTTTTATGTTTACAGTTCTATTTCCCCTGTATCATTGTCTCTGCCATTTTGTTGATACACATGTCTCTGTAATTGATTTTGGAAGTTGTTGTTTCTCCCTACTGTTCATGGTTTCTTTTATTGATTCATTTCTTTTTAAGTAAACCTTTCAAAATCTTGAAGCTTTGGAGGTGGTAGAATGGAGCTCTGCCGTGGTCTGTTTCTTTATCTTCTTTTCAGAGTCACTGTTTAAAAAAAAAATTATTTCGGAAAAATGTGACCTTGACAGTTTTGATTCATTGTAGACTGGATCTCACTGTCTCTTTTGATCAGTCTATACTTGCTAATCCTAGCCCAAAGTTTTGCTGACTAGTGACTACAAAGATTTTTGATGTTATTCATTATTTTGTGTATCATCATTTTATCATTCATTCCTGCTGTTGTGATACAGTTGTTGTTGCCTCCTTTCTAGTTGGTGGTTGGCGGGTGCTCTGGTGGGCTCTGCTTACTGCTTCCTAGAAAACCCCCCACCGCACTTGCCTCTCCTCGTGGGTGGTTGGCGGGTACTCTGGTGGGCTTTCTTTACTGCTTCCTAGAAAACCCCCCCACCGCACTTACCTCTCCTCATGGGTGGTTGGCGGGTGCTCTGGTGTGGTTTGCTTCTTCTTTCCTATCAATCAGCTATCGACTTTATCTCCCCTCCTTCTTTTCTATGTTTGTTACTCTCTTGTAACACCTCTAATCTTCAGCACTTATATGACCTTATTGTGTTGCAAGTGCTGTAAAACCTCTACTAAAACTTACCTCTCCTCTCTCTGTTCTATGTTTGTAACTCTCTTGCAACACCTCCAATCTTCTGCACTTTCATGAAGTGTTTGTGTTTCAAGTGCAGTAAAACTCCCACGAAAGCTAAAAAAAACCTGCCTGTTGGATCAAGGAAATGTTCCTTTTCTTCTTTCCTCTCGGTCTTTTCTCAAGGACTTTGGGTATGGTAGATGACTATGTGTCCTCAAGTTTTTCTACAAGTTCTATACAGTGTGTGTCTGTTGTAATTGTTCTGTTTTTACTGTCAGTCTCTCCTGCCAGGGTGGGTGGTTGGTGGGGGCTCTGGTGTGGTTTGCTCCTGCTTTCCTATCAAACATCTGCAGTCCTTATCTTCCCTACGTCTTTTTTGTGTTTGCTACTCCCTTGTAACACGTAATCTATTCTTTGGCACTTATATGACCTTATTGTGTTGCAAGTGTCGCAAAACTCTGACTAAAACTAAGGTCTGTCCTGCAGGAGCGATGCGGGAGATAGATGTCATCGATGTGGCCAGACAGGAGGACATCAAGATGATCATGAGAGAGTGGACCGAGTACTACAACAGCCCCAACAGAGAAAAGATTCTCAATGTCATCAGTCTTGAGTTCTCAAACACACGGTTAGTTTTGGTTCTTTGCGTCTTGTGTTAGTTGTGTTAAAAGGTTAATGCATCTCATTGTAGTCCAGTGGACCCCTCTGATGAAAGGGTCATGCCACTTCACCACAGCAATTCCTTTGATTTGCCTGTTAATTCCATTGCTATCATCCCAAGCCCTATGGTGAATGTGTGGCGTTGGTGTCCGTGAAGTGTAGACAGCTGTCACTCACACATTGTCACATTTGTCCTGTTTTTATTGGCATACGAGCCATGTGAGATTAGTGTGGTCCATGTGAGATTAGTGTGGTCCATGTGAGATTAGTGTGGTCCATGTGAGATTAGTGTGCTCCTCAGTTTTTGTCATTCCCTTTTGATGATGTGGAAGGTGGTATGGGGGGTGGTTTGGGGGGTGGGAAAAGTAAATCAATTCACTGCACTACTCTTCACATGGAAAAACATATATAAGAAGGTCTGTGTTCAGATGATCATGTATGAAGTTTATTTTTTCCTATCTCTTCTGCATTTCCCTTCCTTTTTCTTTTTTTTTTTGGGTCTTACAAATGAAATATCTGCTTTTAGTAGAAATTTGAACTCATTCAAAGACAAAGGAACCTTAAAAGATTGGTATGGTATTGATTTGGGTGTGTTGGTGATAATGATGCTTCCCTGAAACTCGCACAAGTCTTATTACCACCTCTCACATTGTTGCTGAAAATTATGAGTATTTTTTCTTTAATTCTCCTTTAACTCATCAACTATTCCCCACCCCATACCTTTGATGTGCAGGTTGACAGAGCATGTGGTGCCCCCCAGTGTCATCCGACAGGTGAGCTGGGCTCGCAACGTGTGGCCCGAGCAGCTCCCGGAGGACTCGAACCTAGCACGCCCAGAGGTCCAGAAGTACTGCCTCATGGGGGTCAAGGACAGCTTCACAGACTTCCACATCGACTTTGGTGGCACATCTGTGTGGTACCACGTTCTGCGGGTTGGTTTCACTTCTCCTATGTAGATGTTTTCTCTTCTCTGCTTGG